TGTAGGAAACGTCTCCTTAGTGGAAAATTGGCTATATGCCGAGTCTGCACCTTTATGAATAGAACACTATTAGAAAGAAAGTGTCTCTTGGAGCCGGTGCTTTATTTAGAAAATATGGTTACCAGTTAATATCCCAGCATGTACTATGTACCTCTCCAGGTGTCAGTAATGGAAGAGTGCATATGAGTTCATTTTGTTTTAATGGCAGCACTTGAGCTGCATCAACTCCACAGGGAATGTTGATGATCATGTTCTTCAGCATGATTTCAGAATGAGCCAAAGAGCATCTTGAGCTTCAGTGGGAGCAAGAACATCTGACAGTTTATTCAAAGTAGTTTACTTGATCAGGGTTATTTGCTTAGTAATCTAGAAATAGCACATAATCTTACATATTTATTATTATTTTTTTTATCTATTTATCAGTTTATTTGTATGATGCATTTAAAGGGATAGTTCACCCAAAAATGAAAATTCTGTCATCATTTACTCACCCTCATGTCGTTCCAAACCTGTATGAGTTGAAACCTGTATAAGATCTGGTTGCCATTAGGGCCTTTCACACCGCGGGAACCTTTTCATAGTACCAGAACTAATTGTGGAACTACCCACTTTTTGCCGTTTTCGCTGGAACTGGGTGCGATTTTAGTACCGGACTGCCTTTTTCGAGAACCAAATTAACTCCTACTCCGGAGCAGGGTCTAACCAGCACAACTGGTACTAACCATGACGTAAGTAGACATTGATTGGCCAAACACGTACGAAAACGCCCTCACCCGCCATGATTTAAAACGCTGTGTAAACATTGTGTCAACTTATTTCACAAGTATGGAGAACAGCGATAGATGGACGGACGCTGAAGTACAGGCCCTTGTAGCAAATGTAGCACTGCCAGTTGTCATTGGAGATTCTTAGTCCTCTTTTCCGTTCTTTCAATCGCTTTACGTATATGTCGACTTTCCCTGTCCATTATTGTGAAACCCGTGAGACACAACAAAAACACAGCTCCGATCACAGCGTCCTCTATCCTCCTGTTGTTAATGTTGTTGTTCTTTGTTTCTGTTGTTGAACGCTGCGCACAAATGATGTCGCTGTCAACCGACTTACGTCACTTCTTAGTACACACTGTCGGTGCGAATGCAACCCTTTAAATGGTACTGGGAAATAGTTCGCACAAAATCGTCCCAGTACTTTAGTACTGTACATTTAGTTCTGGAACTAAAGCGGTGCGAAAGGCCCTATTGACTTCCATAATAGGAAAAAAAAGGAGAGAAGGAATTATTCAGCCCCCCCTTCTCTCCTTCGCTCTTTTTCTATCATGATTAATTACGGTGAGCTGAGCCTGACCAGCTCATTTATTGATTGGCTTTAATGTCTGATCCCAAGGGATCATAGCTAAACCGAGAGGAGGATCAGTTCTCCATCTTTTTTCTCTCTCGCTCTCATTTTATCAGTCATCTTTATTTTATTTCACTCCGTCTGTTTAGTTTGTGTATATGTTTGTACACGTGTACATGTTGTGAGATAAAAGCTTAATGTATTTCTTCTCTGTGTGATTATAGCTACTGATTTTAGATTCTGGAAAGTGTTTCTGGCAGCAGTGTTCAAATAAGAAATCACTCACTCTATATATAATGTATTTACTATTTGTAAATACATTTTTTATTTAAAGGGGTGGTTGATTGCGATTTCACTTGTTTAATGTTAGTTAGTATGTAATGTTGCTGTTTGATCATTAACAATATCTGCAAAGTTACGAAGCTGAAAGTTCAATGCAAACTGAGATATCGTCTTTTAACATTCTGGCAGTTTAGTGCCTACAAAAACAACTGGTAAGGGACTACAACGAGTTACTTCCCAGGTCCGTTACGTCAAGAACCCAGAATTTTACATACACCCCGCCTCCGGGAACACGCAGCAAAGGGGGCGAGGCCATGCTGCGCTGCTTTAGAGAAGAGGAAGAGAAAACTAGAGGTGCACGTAAAAATCTTTTCATATATGAATCGCGATTCTGTCTTCTAACGATTCTAATGGATTCACAAGTTTCAAAATCAATGTTCAAAAGCAACGTTCTCATCCTGTTCCTGGCCTCGCCCTGCTCTGCACACGCTCTGCATCTCTCTCTCTCTCTCTCTCTCTCTCTCTC